CCCCAAAACCCCAAAACCCCAAAACCCCTAGATAGAATTTATAATTAATTCAGCTTATATTATAAAATAACGCCTAATTAAATAATATAAATAAAAAATGACTGAATAGTTGTAACAATAGAATTAAGACATTAGAGAATATATAAAAGAACAATTCAATCTCGCTCATGGACTTAAAGAGCAGGTATAGTACAAATAAAAATTAATAGCTGATTATTGATTCAATTTAGGCTAAGCATGTTGATGCCTTGAAGAAATTTGATGAGATTCAGTAGCTTATAAAGCAGCATTTGGGTGATCAGGCCCCTGAAGTATGTGACTTTTCCATTTTCAGATTTAAAATTTCACTTTATTACTAAAAGATTATCTATAAAACCTTTTGTAGTTATAACCCATTTACAATGAGATCGGTATCTTGTGTAATATACTGTCAATGGCTCATTTACAGAAAGAAGACTTCAAGTTATGCTAAGAATTGCTTGGCAAAGCAGTTTTATTCACTGAAAACAATGAAAGATTAAGAGCAATTACTTACAATAACTATGCATGTCTGTTTAGGAAGACTAACAAGCTGAGGAATGCTTTGCAGTATCTAGAGTAGGCACTTGATCTCGAGTATTCTTGCATCAATCTAGCTAATGAGCCTGTTGACGAGAGCTTAAAAATGTCAAATCCATGCGAGATTCATTTGAATATATGTGCTATTTTATCCTAGATGGATAAACATGAATTAGCTTTGCATCATGCCATGAAGGCACTTATTCTGATATAGGATGAATTGGTTTCAAGAAATGAAGAATCCAAAGATGGCATTAATAACGAAGATAGATACACAGTACTTGTTATAGCATTACACAATATTGCAGTTGAGCATGAATATCTCAAACAAGTAATCCTTTATAACTAAAATCCCTTGTTATAGTATTCTTAATCCTTACTAAATTACAAAAAAGCTAGGGATTTTGCTTAAAAGTCGCTTGGCCAGGATCATCTTATGACTAAGAAAATGGAACAAGTATTTTTCCAAGCTGCTTCTAAGATTCATGAAAACCTAGAGAAGCAAGCTTCTAGGAAGAAGGGACCAGCCAAGCAGTAGCCTTCTCCACAATACACACTTGATGATTTACTTCAAAATGGGATTCCGATTGACACAGAAGTTGAAATTTAATTCAAAGGATTAAGTCTTAACTAAACTATAATTCAAAGTACTGTAGCATCTGTTAGCAATTAGTTCGGTAGAGCATAGAGATCTCCAACTCGTGTTTAGGTAAGTTGATTAAATAACTCCAAAAATTACCTAATTTAAGATAAATCTAACTAAAATGTTATAGAACCCATATGTGTAGTTTACAAAGAAATGAGGCTTTACATGTATTTATTTAAATTTCTCTCCCACATATATCAACTCATTAATGACTATTCACCAGATAACCTATTTCTCTCTTTTTTGCAAATTTGGCCTTCTGGGGTTTTGGGGTTTTGGGGT